AATCGCTTTTATAGCGCAGTGAGCAGCAGGTTGGACTGTTTACAGTTCGGATGTGGATGTCAGAGTCATCAACGGTGCTATGCCATCTTTTAGGACACAACAAACCCATAACGGAAAGATTAGGTAGGTGTACTTCTAACAGAGGTGACGTTCTTAGAGAACTTCCTTCTGATTCAAGGATCTGGCTTATTGAGCACTGCTGATAGGCTATTGTAAGCCCAACATGTACATACGGACCTTCAGACACGGGTGGCTTTATTAAGGCAACCTGATGGGACATCCCAAAGGTGTGTTGTGGCGCTGCACGATTCTCATATGCTAACAGGTGGTTTTTGTTCTGACCAAAGGATCTGTGAGACACAAAAACGCCAAATTTTTAAACGTGCCAAACTCCTTCAGTGACTGGAGAATTATCCGGCTTCTATTGTCCAAACACTTTCCATAATATTGCCATGTAGTGCATATTAGTTCTGATGGAAAAGAGTCTTGAATGGTTTGATGGGGTGCTAGTTTGGGGTGGTGCTAAGACTGTGTCGCATCCACCTCCCAGGTTTGTGCATAGTTTATGTCAATCCATTCGAAGCAATTTCCTGTGAATCCTGAATTTGCTGTTCGAGATTACGTATCACCTGCTGGCCAAAAGCCGCTCCAACCTCCTATTCATCATCATCACCATCGGCAAGCATAACGTTGATGTTCAACACTGACGTTTCACTGCTATATATGCCGTTCCAATCTAACCAGCGGCAATGAAAATTTCTATTGGACATTAACGTGACCGTACCCATTATAACCCCAACGAAAACCCAGTGTTCGACCCCTCCTGTGTTTCACAGTGAAAGCTTGGTGTTTCCATTTGTCAACACTAGGGCTTTATTTTCAGGTAGTAATCATGTGGCGGCAAGTCAGTCATACGACTGTTCGACCAGTGCGATGTTATTTTAGACGCCCTTTGATCTTGACCAATAAAGTCAATATGAATATTCGTTTATATTTGCCAGATATAACTTAAGTCGGAGAACGCCGTCTTTACAAACAGTGGCTAAAATATTGATCTTTCAGTGTCCGATTTCATGCCACATTGAATAAGGTAATGGATGACGCTATAGTTGAAGATGAACAACTTCAAATTCTTGAAGAGGAGAGAAAAACACAAAAGTCTACCACCGGAGAATGAAAAATTTGATAAATACACCAGAACACAATGATTAGTAATAAGAACCGTTGGAGGTTATCAAAAAACACTATTAACAAGCCGAAGTTATCGAAATGAGTAACAATCACAATGCAGCTGAACTAAAATGCGATGGAGCGGTGAGGTGTTAAGTTTGTTTGAAATCTTTTGACAACTTGTACAACACTGAAACTGTACTTGTTGACGATGTTGCAGAATAAAGATGGCAGGAAGGAAGCCTTTACACTGAAACTGTACTTGTTGACGATGTTGCGGAATGAAAATGGCAGGAAGGAAGCCTTTACTGCAAAGTTATTTGATGGAAAAAACCAACTGAGCAGAGTATTGGACAAGGAAGCAAAACCTCCGAATGAATCTTGTTTATAAAACCCGAATATCCGTCTCCTTCTCGAATGCGTCTTCCTGAACTTTCTTGGATACTCGTTGACTTTCGCTCAAACGTAGACGAGTGCTACAAAGCGATTCCACAAATTCTGTAATAAATCTCACTTTTCAATAGACGCCAAGCGCATTCACGAGAAACCCCATACTACTCGCATGCTTCACCGGTAACATCCGTCGTTACGCAGTTCGCTGTACTGGGCTGTTTGGTTGTTCTACTACTTGCATGCTTCATCAGTAGTATCCGTCGTTACGCAGGTCGCTGTACTGGGCTGTTTGGTTGTTTTGTTCACCGAGTCTGGCATTTTCACTGATTACTTTATTGCTTGCTGTCATGAGACAGGGAATAAGCCCACGTCTAGGACACAATATATCCCCAAAGGGTGGTTAAACGTCAGATCACAGTCTCGTGAAAGGAACTGTGCTACTTTTTTCCTTGTAATAGATCTTAATTTGAATTGATATGATTATAGGTCAAAATTACCGTTTTTAGTAGGTGGGTTGCCTAGATCAGACGATCAAGGTGACCATATAATTCTGTCATTTTACACATGTTTGCTCCGACAAGGTATAACCAAGCGAGATTTGAAGCCCGAAATTCTGTGGGTAGAGCTACTTGTTTATGTCCAGATGCCTGAGAACTTCAAATATTCTGAACTCAAATGTGCTGACCGTGGACTTAGAAACTAGGATTGCCACATCGCAGGTGTTTACACCTTGTTTTGCATGTGAATCCATCAGGTCTCGATGTTCTAGAGCTTTGCACCTTAAAACGAAAGTGTCTTCGGAAAATGAAGTATTTTATTGGTTTTTCATCGCCTTGTAGGTAGAATTATTTATGTAAAACAATCACTGTGGGTCAAACGAACACCTTTTTATACCCAGGTGTTTCTTTGTGAGTAGGTGTAGAATCATTAGAACTTGTTTTCAAACGGGCAGATGAGTCGCACCGCCTTTGCCTGTTGCGACGTTTTGACTTAGGTGATACGCTTGCCCTACACGGCGTTCTTCGACACTCAGTACGTTTGTGTCGGATCGTTAGGTTGCTTACCTAGCCCGACAAGGAGAAATGGTGCATGCTGAACAAAAACAGCACATGACTTACATCGGATGCCACGTGTACACTGCTTCCAACAACTAAGTTTATCTGCCTTAGTACTCGTCTCCGCGGGATATTCGGAAGACGGATCGTAGGGTGTCCCAAGGTCGTGCATCGTTCCAAACTTGTCTTCCATGCCCATTCCCCATTCTTGACCACCATCGAAAGCGAAATTGACGTGATGGGATTTCGAATTGCGCTTTGTAACTTCACCTTCCATAATTTGTCTGGTTGGGTCAAAAGAAAGAGCAGTAAACAGATCAATCAGCAGAGGAATCAAGCACAGTGAGAAATCTAGCAGCCGAGAATATTCCGTAAACAGAGAAAATATATGACCACCTATGGATGAATTGTACTCACTCGCTCGTTTTGCATTCGAATAATGGAAGAACGATTATTTGTTCGATTGAAGGAACAAGTTAAATTGATTGGTGGTGGCGCTCGGTGCACTCCCTACAATCTCTAATGAGGGAGAAGCACTTTCACTGTGCTTCTCGGCTTTCTGGCGGGTAAAATCTGGATTGTATGATAGACTACTTACATTCACACCCAGTCGCTAAAATAAGGTATTCCTGAAAGTTCGCTTAATGAATTCGGGGCCGAACGATGCGATCGGTAGTGATAGAGTGTCAACCTTTTGATTGATCTGTTTGTTGAGCTTCGAAGTATGCCTGCAGAAATTTCGTCATTAGTCGTGCGAATGTCATCACTGTGCGGTTAATCGAGTACTTCCTTGCCTTGTTGAGTTACTACAGTCCATAAAAGAGCAGTTGACAGTTATTGATGTGATAGGCTGAGGGACAGGTTTATCTTGATTTCTCTGGTCCTTTTGTGAGAGACGGTTATAAACTCAAGAAGGTAACAAGGAAGCACCCACCCAGCCGTGTACAAATGATACCCCCTCGATTGGTGAGAAACATCTGCAAGCAATTTGCGAAGCTCTGCAAACCGATCAACAACCAACTGACACCCGAGCACCAAAATTTCACTACCTTGCCAGTGCTTCATTTTTGCTTGTCGGTAACTTTGATATCCAGTTTGTGCAGTAAAATTAGTACTCTAAAACTACTTGGAACTGATGTAAAACCGACCCGCAGACCAGTTAGGATTAGATTGCATGGTGCTTACATGCTACGCGCGAAACTCATGGCGAATTCTCAAACATTTACGAATACCCGTCGATCACGTAGCCTCACTTATTTGTTGGTAATTTGTTGAATATTGGTTTTGCGAAGCTCTGCAAACCGACCAACAACCAAATGGCACCCGAGCACCAAAATTTCACTACCTTGCCAGTGCTTCATTTTTGCTTGTCGGTAACTTTGATATCCAGTTTGTGCAGTAAAATTAGTACTCTAAAACTACTTGGAACTGATGTAAAACCGACCCGCAGACCAGTTAGGATTAGATTGCATGGTGCTTACATGCTACGCGCGAAACTCATGGCGAATTCTCAAACATTTACGAATACCCGTCGATCACGTAGCCTCACTTATTTGTTGGTAATTTGTTGGAATATTGGTGGCTCGGGTGCATTATTTGGTGGCTGTTGATCTGTTCGCTGAACTTGGTAATTGATTTGCGAACGTTTCCTAACCGTTCAAGGAGACATCTTCAGTGCGCTGTTGTTAAAAAACGTTTGCAAATCAACTGCCAGGCTCGGCGAACAGATCAACAGCCACCACACTTATCTGTGTTCCTCTTGTGCCCAAAAAGACGGGGCTGTTCTAGTAGTACACTGCAACTTGGAAAGCTTTAAAATTCCAATGCGGACTGCCTGGTAAGGAAACTCAATTAGGCTGAGCAGCAGGGGATAACTAGGTAGTAACGATCCAAGAAATATTATTAGATGGTTTTGGGCTCGAAATGAGTCGAGCTACAACCAAGAAAAGAATTATTTCCTCTTATAAGTACTTACAACCATGTATGTAGTTTTGTGTAAGGAAAAAATAAATTCTATGTCAAATATCGGGGCCATTGAAAAATGAAGGAAACTTTGTCTAGCATATTCACTCAAAGGGTTTAGGTGAATATCTTATTTGTAGCAAATGAATTTGTGAGTGAGCGCCTTTGGGCACTCACGATGTTCACTTAGAAACAAGGTTGATTGAGAATAGGGGGTAAGATCTGCCCGATAAAATCCAAGGAGAACAGAACCGGGGATGGACCGTCAACAAAGTTTGGCGAACTTGTATGTGGTGTGTTGTAATTATCCTATATTTTCTGGATTTATGTTGGACGCCAGGTCTTTGTATTCATCATCAGCCAACAACCTGTTATCAAGAGATAGACCATTCATTGATACAATTCGCAATTCCCTCGTTACTTAAAGGTTACAACGGTGTAAACTTATCCTATAAGCTAATTAGCGGCACCATCCGCAGGGACAAAGGGAGTAGCCTGGATCTCAGATCGCTCAAAACAATCCACAACTGTGTCACTCCGGGCCGTCAGAATTTCACCTGCTGCAACGCGAAAAATGCGGAAACCGTGCAGTTTAACACCAAATTGGCATTCATGAAACGGAGCAGGCATCCTTCTGTTTTCCAGTTCAACATATTGAAAGCAATGTCAAACAACTGGAGTCTGACTGTAGTGTTAACTAAAAGGAACAGCAGCAGTATGGTTCCCGCATTTTTTTGATGTAGCAGGTTTCACTTTCTTATAGAATAGGTGGAATTTCAACAGCCTAGAGAGGCAACAAAGTGTATAGTTCAGGATTGTTTTGAGCGATCTGAGATCCAGGCTTACCCTCTTTGGTCTCGCGGATGGTGCCGCTAATTACTTTGGAAAATAATTTCCCAGTGTGAAGACATTTGAGTATGGATGCTCATCTCATTTTATTCATTTTGGTCTGCTTCTTGACAACAGGTTATTGAGTACACAAAAATTTTCCGCGTGAGACGGATCGAGAAAAGATAGAAAATCATAACACAGCATATACGGCCGTTGAAAATTCACTGACAGTTCATCACCGGTCCCTTTCTACTTGAGTTTCATCATACAGGCCTAGTCTCCTCGTTTCTATCGATCAGCTCTGTTTTTTAAACACCACACTTTACGACAGCATACACTCGCTCGCAAATTAAGCTGCTTTTATTTCTGTTAAACAAGACGCATAATTTGGATCGAATCCTTCAATATGTGTTCGAAAACTGACAAGATGTGAACCGCTTAGGTTGAATTCTCTAACAGCAAGGTAGTCTCCTTACCCAGGTAAAAGTCTTCTGTGCAGACAAGTTTGGTTAGCTGTGATTAGGTATCGGTGACTCGCGCAAACGCCAAGCCAAAAGTGTTATCACCCACCAAGGCCGAGCTGATGCGTACGGAAATAAGCATTCAACATAATCAATAACAACCAAAACACATGCCCAATAAACAATATCAGTGGAGTCCCGATCTAGCACCATGGTGGTTTTCAAATGAATGTATTCCACCAGTTACGAAAAATCCGCCGTTCAAGGGAAGCATAGGGTTGCCAGAAAATCGGGGACCAGACTTGACAGGTGAAGCTAAAGAAGGTTTGATCACTGGCAGACTGTAGAGGAATTTTCACCAGACTCGTAAGTAGTATGTTATCTCAGAAATCCATTCTTATGTAAAAACACACTGTGTGTTGATACTGATAGGTAACGTAGCGCTCCGGAAAGTAAGCAAGGAGATCGACGGAATTTTGTGAGGATTCAACCCTCCTTTTCAAGCACATGTTGTGCTATTCACAGTGAGTGGGTCTGGTCCTCTCATACGGTATTCACACCTGGAAATTTGTTTCAAAGTACATTACCTCAATTTGCAAATCAATTTGGTTTTCACGGGAGACTCAATTGAATCTCTCGTTTATGATCTCCTCCAGCTGAATGTGCTGCACACAGGCCGCCTCATGATTCAGTTGGCACGATATTCGAGATAGCGCAGGATGTTTTCATAAAGGAACCTACTCACAAGGTTGCTGAAAACTCTTCGACAGCCCACGACCAGATTCACCCTTCTTGGGGCTTCATGAAAATACCCTGCGATATCTCGAATATCGTGCCAACTGAATCATGAGGCGGCCTGTGTGCAGCACATTCAGCTGGAGGAGATCATAAACGAGAGATTCAATTGAGTCTCCCGTGAAAACCAAATTGATTGACCAATGAGTGTATCTCTCGAATACATTACCTTAAATTTTTTACGGGCGTTGCTCAGATTGGTATCCACAAATGTGAGGAAAGCGCCAAATTGAAAAATGTTCTGACAAAATGGTGGAATATCAAGAAGATAAACCATTAATGGATTGAATGACTTAAAACTGGGCCAAAAATTTAAGTCTTCAACTGCTAGACTAAAGTTTTTAGTCGCCTGTGGATTTGTGCACTGTACACTCCTAATAATGCCTAAAAAGGAAGAAACTGCTGCACAGTGGTTCTCGGCTTTTCGGCGTAGATCCATTCCGGTACCAAACTGCCCGGGTTCATAGGCAGCCCCTTTGATTTCTCACCAAACATTGGATTAAGGTGATTTTGAAATTTCTGTTAATAAGATTGAATCTGAAAATGCGGTTAGTAATGATAACGTTTCCAACCCTTAGAGAAACAGATTCCGAAAAAAATCCTTTTTTCTGCTTTTTCGAAACCTCACCTCTCACTCAAGGTCATCTGCTTAAGCGTCAAGACAATTATACACATTTATCTCACTGGAGGGGCACTTCAGACTGAAAATGAAATGTCGTCCCATCTAAGCTCGAAGTATCCAAACAAAAAAGTTTCTTGGTTTCGGTTTACATTATTTAAAAAATGCTGTTTTTTCTAAAACAGGATAAGAAACTTCACTACGATAAGTTTTATCACTTCAAAATGTAACTTACCATGGGTAAGGAGATTGTTAAAAATTTCGAACCCCTAGTTCTACATTGCACAATTCAAATTTCAAAAAATTAGGCCCTGCACCTCATTTTACGTAAAGCTTTGAAACCACACAACTCGCTCCTTGCCTACATACAGCATAAACAGTGAATTCCTGTAAGTCCAATAGATGAGAACCTCACCACCGCAAAATGGATATTTGGCCTGTCTTTGAAGGAAGTCCCCCACTCGAGAAGGGCAATACGCTACTTTTATGCCACGAGCTTTTCATATCTGAGAGAAGTGGCCTTTTTTCAAGAACGAGGCATTACTGACACATTATTGTGGCGGCTTGAAAGAGGGTGCGTAGCCGGGATAAGGTCACCTTTAGATCCTA